ATTTCCTACCCAGAAAAGCTTAATTATCTTTACAGCGGAGACTAAACTAAAATGTGGAGATATTAATAAATCCCCGTCTAGATTTAGTCGTGCAAGATTCAGGATTCGAATCCCAGTAAGGACACAGTTGGCTTTTCAGATTCCCTTATCGAAATATCTAATGGTCTTTACAAGACAGTAAATATCAATTTGTTGTGTATTGAGAAGAAGTGATAGAATTATACCAAAATTTATTATTGTGCTATAAATGAAAGATTTCCTTTGAACTTTGAAATGTTGGAGCAGCTTTAGCTAGCTGGCCTGCGTATACTGTTTCATTTGGAAAACACCTATCGCAAAACATCATCGAAAGAATGCATAGCATAGAAGAAGGATGTAGGATAATGTTTTCTCTCTCTCAACTTTCTTGTCAAATTTTACTAAGAAGTATGAATCAAATTTTACTAAGAAGTATGAATGCTTCAATTTAGTATGATAAATGTTTAAATTTATACACCTTGTTTTGAAAATAATGCAATTAAACTGAAATATAAGTAATATTTTACATAACTTAAGCTGCAAGTTCGAGATGGTGATTGTCTTGGAGACATTTTATGGTTTATTGGAGTCATTCTCAGAGCGACTTGAATCATGTTGCAACTTCTAGGTATTCTATACGAACAGTTTTAATGTGTGCTTTGCAAAGACTAATTTGTATTATTTAATAGCTATAAGTATTCGGAGGATTTAATCGTAAGGAGAGATGCTTTCTTGAAGAACGCTGATTCGCACTTCCCGCTATACATGAGCTTTGAAATTTGAATTACTTTTAATTTAATTAAAAATTGATTTAATGAAGAATTAATTTAATAAAGAACACAAGATTTAAGCCAAAATATATTACAAACATGTATATAAAATGCTTAAATATGTAAGAAAGATATTTAAGATAAATTAAAATTTATCTTCAGTGTTTTCTTTTGACAAGAGCCGAACTTTAAGTGTTTAATATGAACAATATTTAAGATTTTTCACCACGTAGACAAAAATATTAATAAATCTTATAATAAAATAATTTAATTATTTCGAAAGTTTCATCAAGCGAGCTTACTATAATATTTGAACTTAATAAATGAATAATTTTGTTGATAAAATATCAGTAATAGTCCATAAATATCAAATTCCCCATGAAAATCATATTTTTTTGTGAAACAGCAAGCTGTGCCTAATCATGGTGTGTTTTGATAAAGTATAATCAATAACAATTTTTTAAAGAGTTTGAAGGAGGGAATTCGCTTGAAATTTACTGATGTTTATTAGCATAAAAAAAATTCATGGTTTTCCTCCACATGTAGCAGTTTCTCTCAGAAAGACTTCTTCAAAGGCACAGCTTCTTGTTCGAAGGCAAACCTTTTTGTGTGCTTTGGCATATTTAAGCAACCTAACCTTGTAACTTTGATATCCTCTGAATATTTGGAACACAAGTGAGGCTAAGTTGAAACTGTTATTATTTATTTATTTTATTATCCAAGAACTTTGATAAATATTTATGCCGAAGTGCTGATTTAAATCTTTAACAGAAGTCAAATATTATAACATCCTTACAAAATTCCATCTTAGAAATGAAAATACATTTCAGTTGAGAAAAGGAATAGCTGATATATACCTGCGACTCAAATACATTCAGCGAATACTGCAGCTTGTCTATCGCAGTTTCATGCAACATGTATTGAAGAAAAACGAAAAATCTCCCTCAAACTCTATATGTTGAGTAGCTCAGGACAGCTTTCATTCTGATGCAGAGATAATGCCTTTTTCTCTTCCTACCGATCGAAGATAAGAATCCCAGTATCAAATCTATATTAGCGACAGAAAAAGCCACGTGTTCTATTAATCGCATGACTAGTATACGAAGCGTCAACAAAGATGTATATCAAGGTCTATTCGTTTAATATTTTTTGTACTTTGTGAGTTTAATGTAGTTTTATTTCTTTAATTTTAATGGCTGCTTATTTCTGTGAGCTTACCCTTAGTATCTCGTACAACCAGTCAAACTATCATATTACAAGAAAAGTTAGAAATTTGTTCCAGTTTCATTCCAAATGTAATAATTATTTTTTACACTACATTCTAAAAGAAAATTGTTGTAAAAGAAACCAGAAAAGCTTATGAAGTAAATTCATATACTTAACAATTGGCAGGTTTTGGTTATGTACATTAACTTTTGCTTGACTGATTTGATATATTCCACAATGCTTCAAAAAGATGAAAGGTTTTCAAGACATTTAAGTTTCCAGTATTTCGGGATTTGAAATTTGAATATTGTTTTCGCGTATTAATTACGCTGGATTAAAATTTAATACATGTTTTAAAGTTAAGACATGTTATAAATAATATCTTTTAAAGTGTATAATTTTTCGAGTACAACAAGAAATGTCTCTCAAATATATGTATTGGTATAAAATGAATTAAAATTACTAGTAATGACAGGATCTTATCTTCAAAGGCGATTTCATATCAGATTTGTTTTCTTGTTTCCTTTGAAAACGATTTAAGTCATTTTGTCATGAACGAGAAGAAATGTATACTCAGCTCAATGCAAAATTAATACAATATATATAATATATTAGAATGACACTGACTTAATTATTGGGATAATTTCTCATACTTGCTGTGCGTTTAGAAGTCTCTTAGTGCATATTACATAGCAAATTAAGGAAGATATGCTAATAGAAAGTTATGCGCTTTTGAAGAAGAGATAACGCTTAATTTTCTTTTAAAAGGAACAGCATTTCTATTTGACATCAGTGACAATCAAATGTCAAAGTTTGTCAGTTATCAAAGTTTAGATTGGTAGTCGTTTCTTGTATTTATTATGCGATTTATCATTTTGGCTAACATTACTAATTAGCACTTTTTTGTGGAGCCTCCTGTCTTAGAAACAAAATTGGTTAAAGTTTCAAATATTAATATTTTTATTAAAAAAAATTAAATGTTAAATCCTCAAAAGCATTCTACCAAATATTGCAAATTCTTCACCTAAGATTTGCTGTGGTGTAAAATGATGATGAACAATTAACACTGATCATAGGTCACCGAGCTATAAATCTTACTATCATTTTTTAAACGTATAATAATTTTTTTATGATCCTTTTTTGAACTTAGTTATTAAAATATGGATGACATCAAGCGATTATAATTTTATGCAAATAACAAAGATTATGCCTTTACTTACAAGTTGTTACAATAGTATTTGCTTTTAAAAAGGATTTGACATTGTTTTATTTTAGCATTCCTGTAGCATAATTAAACTTTTTCGCATTTCCATATGGATTGACTAAAACTTCTTTACGCATAGTCTTGTTACGAGGGAATGAGCCTATGAATATATATTGAACACGGTATAAATAGAAATTCACGCAATTCACCAAATTTCAGAACTGTATATTATTTTTGGGAATAGCAGCTAAGGTTTGGCATTAGTAGGCATTATTTATTCAGAGTTTGCGTCTTACGTATCTGCTGACATTCTTTCTTCTTTGTGTCTGCCTAGGAGACAATAGACTTTTGTAATTAGTTTGTTCAACACTTCTTCGGAAGACGCTGTAACAATGAAATTAATACGATTATAATAAGCGCATACTAAGGGAAATATTCATTTCCTGTTCTTTATAGGAATATACTAGAAAGAAACTATTTGTTTGCACTTATTATTTATATTTACTTTGTTCATTGCATGATATCATAACATGCTAAATTCAAAGTCCTGATCGCATTACATAATAATAACATGATAAAAAGAAACATTTTATATAATTGCTTCATAACATAAACTCAGTAGATTAAAAGGTACTAAACCTAGCGGCTTGAAAAGTTGAGTTTTTATGTCATTATATTATTGTGTAACAGGCATTAACTTTTCTGAAGAAACTGGAAATCTGGTGATATTCCGGTTTCCAGTTATGCATTTATGTTACTTATTAGTTAAAATTTTTATGCTAGAAGTAAAAATTCTTCACTTATTGTCAGTTTTTCAAAATATTTAAACGAAAAATAGTATATGCAATTTCCACAGCAATCATTTTTAGTATTATAATTTATATAGCTTAGAGCTGCAGTAGATATATTCTACTTCAAAATGAGAGAAACATTAATCTAAGGGAGATTTTCAGACGAAAGAGAAATAAAATCTAATATTAGGAATCCCAGAAGATATAATGCATGCTTTAAAAATGGTTTTCAGTATACTTTACAATAAATTTTGCCAACTGAAGCGTATAAACGCACGTAAAGTAAAATGCACGTTTACGTATAAATAACAAAATATGTATATCAACAATAAAATGCATATTATAATAAAATACATATAAATACATGTTTTCTGAAACACCAATCGGTTATTATTTTAAAATCTTTGAATTCAGTTTATTTAAATGCAACCAATTATGAATTTCTCTTTTCAAAATAAACTGTATTCTAATCTCTTTGAATGATACAAGTAAGGTTTAATTTGGATGAAATTATACAGGTTTGAATTCAAATCATTTTTGTTTGCAACAAAATACTCGATTATTTGTTTAATGGCATATTTTAGTCAGTATAATCGTTCATTCCCAATATTTTTCATTAGGAATAAAACTGTACACATGTAATGGGAATTGATTTAAAATTTGTTAACCATATACATCAAGTTACGCAATTAGGGTAGACATAGTTTTTTGGGCAAAGTGCAATGCATTTCATAGTTGATTAAGTCTCTAACGTAAATGTTATTGCCCTCTGATAATACTACGCGATATTTTGCGTACAGTTGCGTTTAAAATTCTAAGATATTGCGTTGAAAGAAAAAGTATAGAAATAAAATCCCATTAACTACAAAATAGAAACTATTCTTCAGTAATAGTGGTTACTTTTATTGTAATTTGAAATCCATTTTACTTTAGCATGATGTCGAAATCCATATTAGGTATTCGAAGAGGAAGGGATGCTCTTTTGGCGCATTTATCACCTTTTTTTGGCGCCATCAGATCAAGCATGGCAACCTGAGTTTTCACAACGCAAAGTTGATAGGGAGCTATTCGCTGAGAGTAGGGCGGAGTAGTTGTAGGGTCTATTAGAGACATCTTCTGTTCTCCGTAGCTGAAGCTCAGGATGCCGACGGTTTCTCCCAGCAGCAGCAGCCGTCAATCCTCAGGCCAGATGTTGCCGGGAAGAATAGTGATTACCACCTGTCTGCTAGTTGTTACCGTTGCGGTACCGGACAAGATACCTATAGGTAAGACCTGTTTTACGAAACGCTATTGTTCTCTCGCCGCTTACAGTGTTAGAAAGCGTACATATTATGTTTACTTTCAGTAAGTAGTCAGCGCACTAAATCCGCAACTAAGATTTGATTACAATACCTTTGCTAAAAATTAGTAGTAGCAAAAACTATATAACTAGTATTTCATCTTTCCTGCTGATTTAAAACACTTGTTTGCAAATTTTTCGCGCTGAACGACATTTTAAAGGAAGTAAAATATTTCACCTACCTGTAGAAAATGAAGCAAAAGTATAATAATTTCATTCTATATTTATTATAAGATAATAATTTGCTGAGGAAATTTATTTCGTTTGTTTAAATACAAAATTAATTATGGAATATTTACTTTCTCTCAATTTAGCAATTTCGATTTCAACTAACACTCTGGATTTAGATTTTGAATGTTCGTGCTAATTTCACATTCTCATGAGAGAAAAATGCTCTATATACTAACTTGAAAAGCAAGTCTTTTGTTTTATATTTCTTCTTATAAGGCTTCCTTTTTTAAGATCTTTCATCTTCTAAAAAGTTTAAAAGCGTAATTAAGAAAAACACATTTTTTAAGAATATTTCTCTTTACCTGAAAAAAAGCTGAAAGTTTCTTTGTTATTTCGATAACTTTAAATTGCAAATAGAATTCCATGTCAGTCATTTACTTGAGAAAAATACAGCATCAGTTTTCGAAATAATTTGTTACATAAAGGCAGTATTTAAACAGCGCTTTAGTTGCAACAAATGCAATAATTTAGAAGTACATACAATGTTACATATGGGATTCAAACTGAGAACACTTTTCACATGAAAAGGGTCTTTAAGTATTCAAATCATTTAAAGGAAAAAAAAAGGATATTTTTCTGGCTGTGTATCTTTAGTTTTATAATTGTCTTTCTGTTACTGAAAGAAATTTCTAATAAATTGCTTGATCAAGACACATAATGTCCTTTTTCGTATTTAAATATAAATCTAATTGCGTTTCAAATAATAGTTTAAAATCTTTTTCTTATTGCGTAAGAATGTTCACATGAATTTCGTGTAGAGGAAATTATAATGTGAATAAAAAAATTGATCACTGACTTGTTTATTGAATTTTCCTATTATCACTGAAATCTTTTATATGTATGTAAATAATAAAATACATTAAATGAATTTTATTTTAAAATGTGGGCGATTAATTGATTTAAATAGAAATAAGTGAAACTCCTTCGTCAGTTTCATTTTGCAATTTTCCCTTAATTATGACTAAGCTAAAAAACTATCGACATTTTCTCTTTTGAATTTATTCTCACAACTTTATAGACTGAAATGAATGATTTACTTAAGCGTATAGTAGACACTTTATAAAACTTTTATGCGTGCGTTTATTGAGAGTTCTAGAAAATTGTTTTGAAAACCAGAGGCAAATTCATCACTAAAAGGGAGGATACTTTTATTTAAAAAAATTAATTTAACATTGGCTTTGTTCGAACTAATTTTATAGTTTTAGGATAATTATCATGAATTTAAATAGCATTAGTATTTCACTCGTTTCATTTCTGTTGCATTATGAAGTACAAAGATTACTTTTGTATCAATAATGAGGATATTTTCATTTTAACGAAAAGCCTGATAAGAGTAGTTTGCATCCCATTTGACATATTTACTTCAATTGTTATACAATTAGTAAGCGTTTCATCTTGCAGACTGTAGTCAGTTTTATTTTAGTTTTATATCTAAAAGTATAATGGAGAAATTAATTTAAACAGGCTCACTAAAGTAAATACATTATTGACTTTTTTCAAGTTTTTTAATTTTTCTTAACGTTTGCTTAATTGAATTCATTTAATTTTAGAAACGAGTTTGTTGGTAAAAATATGATGTCCGTTTAGTAAAAAGGTTTAACCACGTGATATTTCTTCTTTTGGAGCATCATCATGTGACAAGAATGAAATGACATTTTCTTCTGTAGCCAAAGATTTCTTAAGCTCAAATAAAACATAATTAACAGAAGTTCTGTGTACATATCAATCATTTCCAACAAAAGTATATGTTAAATTACAAGTTGTGAATATAGTTGTGTAAAAATATTATGTCAGAAAATTAAAACGTTTAATTTAGTTAAAACAAATACCATCTAAATTTGAGAAAGAGAGACGAAGAAAATTGATTTCTAAAAGCAAATTTATTTTTTATTTAATTTTGGAAATATGTAGCAATTTTGTTTACACTTATTTTTTATATCACTGAACTGTTTTTGCTTTTGATATCAGTAAACCAAACAGGGCATATAAAATAAAGTGTTTTTGTGTTAGAATAAACATTCGTAATCTCTTTTAGTTTATTTATACGGTATTTGATTAAAATTTTCTCCACCTTCATTTTACTTTTTTGTTTGTTCATACAACCGTATATTGTAGACACAATACAATTTTTAGTATTGCCTGTGTATTACGTTGAACTATATTCTTTAATTGATAAACAATGGATCTATACGTTTCTTAGGTAACTTTTTTTGTTAACACCATTAGCCCTACTGGAAACAAGGTTATATACTTATCTTTGATGCGTCTAGATAGTAGTTGCGTTTTTCAAGGAACTACGTGATATATGTTTTTCAAAATTCCATTTTTCACACGTCAAAAGAAAGTAAAACTTCCTTGTGAGGTTTCTACCAACACGTGATAATACCTATTTATCAATATGCAAAATTCATTTAAAAAAAATTAGCTTCTTGAAGTGCAACGTAAACTTTGTCTTCAAAATGTCTTATATTTTCCCACAGGAAATTAACTGTAATAGCGAAGACGTTATTTTCTGTGTTTTTTTATTATAATTTAATAATATGCATGATGCTTATATTACGCTATTTAGTTGGAGAAGCGATACCTATTGAATAAATACTAATAATAGCTGAGTTTTTTTAAGTCAGTTTCTTAATAGAAATTTGATGTTTATAGCTCTTACATGTTGTTCTTTATTTACTTGCTTTTTTTTTACAGAATTTAAGTATTTTAACAAAGCTAAATCGATAAATAACTTTCCCGTTATGCTTGAAGTTTTATTATTTTTTTACGGAAACTAATACATCAGACTTCAGAAAATATAATTCCTGTTGATCAATGACTGTCAATATATTAAACTCTCTGTTTAACTGAATATAATTTATATTCAGATTTGAAACCAGGTTGATTTATTTTCTATCCATTGTGGTTAGATGTTTGAATTCCTTTCAGCGTTACAATGCAAATTTATAAAAAAATTACAAAAAAATTGTGTCTAGTACAACTAGTTTACCAGTAAAAGTTACTAATTTTTCAGAACTATCTTTTTATACCGAACTCTCCTCTAACTAGGGAAAATGAAACGGACGACTTTTCCTTCTGGGCAATTTTAAAAGAAGAAATTTCAAGGTCCCCCCCCCCACTCTCAATGTCGCAAAAGATGCGAACTTTATTTCAGTTACTATCCACAATGTGAAATAAAAAGTGAAAGTGAACGATGAGATTTTAGTAGAAAATAACGCTGAGTAGAAAAAAGTTTCTAAAAATTTATTTTGAATTGTGGCATTCAGTTAAAAGGATAGTTTTAAAGACTTGAAAAGCTGTGATACATTTAACTTAATGGTACATTTTATGCTTATTTTTTTCCACAGGCAAGAAAAGAATTTCAATTAGAATAAGCACCATAAGGAAATGTTATGTTATTTTACTTATACTGCTCTATAAATTGTCTTTGTGTAAAAAGATCTGAATTTTAGGCATTAATAGCATTTTACATTGCGCTGCATAAGCAAATGTAAAATTCTTGCTTTCTAAAATCTTACGATAGGAAAAACAAATTACGTAATATATTAAATCAATTAAAAAAGTGTGCCTTAACGTTAGCTGACAGATATTAATTTTTTATTACACGTGTTTCGACTTAGAAAAGCTTTTTTTTTATTTTTGAAGGAAAATAGAACGTAATTATTTCTCCCATTTTAGCTTAGGTATTTTATAATCTAAGGGTGTTTTATTTTAATATTCAAATACTGCGCTGCATTTTTCAAGCAAGTGAAGGTTATAAAATTTTCAGAAATCGAATTTTTAATATTTTAACACTTGTGAGAATATAAGTGACAATGTGATACAAAGGGATGTTTTTAAAACCTTTTGAACATTTGAAATTCTCTGAACAAGTGAAATTTTATTAAATTAATATTTCCTTTTTTATGCCTCACAATGTGAAATGAAATTTTGCTCAAATATATTACATGCACATTAAATATTTAATATTATTTGTAAGGAAAATTCTTTCAATTATGAAAACATATTACTGAACTTAAAACAAGAAAAAATGTCAGTAAAGGTTGAAAGTTGGCTTTCTAACTAAGTCAGACATAATTTATTTTGGTAAAAAGATGTAAGAATTGGTTTTCAGTTTAGTTTGGATCAGCAGTGAACATGTTGTTTAGATATAATTATGAAAGAATCTTACGTTAAGTAAAATTTTTTCTAATAAAGCAAAAGCTGAATTTATGTTCACCCTATTTAAAAAACTGTACTGTAATATATAGATTTAGTGAATGTTGTTCATATATTAAAATAAGTATATATATCTAAAAGTGTTAAATAATGAGCAATTTGTATAAGAGATTGTTTTCACAGAGATATTAAAAACTGAGATTGTCAAGTTCTATGATACACTCTGTTCGAAAGCTTAATATATTTTATTTAAAGCTCAACATACATGTGACTGGGGTCTTTTATTTTCTAAGATTATTTCAGTTTCTGTTTATTATTCTTATTATTATTTCAGTTTCAGATTTATTTCAGTTTCTAAGAGCAGCTAACTAATGAGAGAGAACAAAATAGTATAATGTTATGTTTTTGAATGGGGGATTAAAATTGGTAACATAAACAAATTAATCAGATCTTATAATCTTATCTTCACTGATTTTAAGCTGAAATTTCCTTTATATATATCTAATATCAAAATTTTGGTTTTCAACTTAGGCTACAAATAATTTCACTTTTAATATAATGACGCCACCAACAGGTCATACATCTTTTTAATCAGTCACAATATTCCTTTTGAACTCAAACTTATATAGGCAAAACGTCTTCGAAATTAAAAATATTTGCTTAAGATTTCAGTTGAAGAAAGCTCTGTACTTAAGCAATTTTATTTCTTTCATGCTAATGCCTGAACCTGTTATCTTCTTTAATCTTTTATTTCTTCAGCCAGACTTTTTTTTAATGTTACGCTGAAAACAGATATTAAATTATTACTATTTTAATTACAATATTTCTAAAATTCTCTATATGCATACATCCATTACTCATGTCAGTTGTATTTGTATAATGAAAACTGAAAAATACCGTATTCAATTCAAATAGGTATTATTCACTCTTATGCATTTGAATAAGATGCGAGTTTGAACTCATTTTTGAGCTCACTTTGAGTGAAACAAACATAAATTTTATCCTCCACCTTTCTTAAAGTGTGCTTTCATTTCAGTTTTCTAAATGTTTAAAGCAGTGAGTGCCATTATTTAAGATTTTACTCCTGATATTTTACGTGCATCTAATTTATCATCATACCTCTGAATATTCAGTTTGAATATTAAAATTCATCTAGCCTTTTATGTTAAAATTTCTAATGAGCATATGTTAAGATAAGGAAAAGTGATTTATTTTAGCGTGTTTCCTTTGTGTTTTATTTAATAATCTCTTTTGCTTTCGAAATTCGAAACAGCTTTGGCCAGTGTTTAATAAATGTATTCTTATCTATTTTATCGAGAACATTTTTCTCCTAACTTCACTGCTACATAAAATAATGATGAATCTTAAGCATTAAGTCATTTATCTTAGAATGAAATATTCACGAGTGAAGATGTTATCAGGAGTTTTGAAGGATAACAGAAGTAAATGTATGTATGATTTCTAGAAATAAAATCCGTAGCATTTATTTTAAAGATAATAACATATAGCAAATAATTTTCAGATTAATGCATTCAACTACGAGTATTTATTGTTTAATCGTTTAAATAAATCATCAAATAAATAATAATCGCGTGATGCTTACTTAAATAACAAGCAATAATAAAAGTAAGACACATGCGTTCGATTTGCAACTTAAAATTTCTGAATTAAATGTCAGCATTACATTCGGTGAGAAACGGCACTTGTGTGTGTAAGTCCCGTGTGTACTACAAGGGGTTCTTATGCTATTAGCATAGTTTCATTCCTAATGCTACAAATGTTTTGTGGCGTATAGATTTCCTTGATTGTGCAAATTTTTGGAAGCCTGATCTAATCATAAACTGACTAAATAATCCGTTGTATCACTTTTTTGCTATGGCACTCAACCCAATGTTTTACTTTTTGTTATGGTACAACTCACTATGAAGTTGTTGCATATATTAATATGCATTCTTCTTATTTCACAACGCGTGAAGTAAAAAGAATGATAATCCTGATCGAACATTTAGGAATGTTAGGGGGAAAAAGGCTTAGAAATTTACCTATTACAAATGAACTTGCCCATCTTAATATATCTAGAAAATTATGCAAGCTTCTTTCATTTTATCAAATGAGTTTGGTCAGTTATGTCCATATTGAATGGTTAATTTTTGATGATGCTTCTTAAGTTTAGATATGGAATGCAAAAATGACTTTTACCACAATTTTAATCCATTGTACTATTTGCAGTTTTAAAAATAAATCTAGATCCGTGCAAATAATAAAAACTTTTTAACTCTTCATTGTAGTGCTACAATATTTTATTATTACATGATAGTTAAGTATTTTGGGGATTGCTTGTTACTAGCTTGAACGTTTAACAAAGACATGCATTTTAAGTGGCTCAGAATTTATCCTACATTCTGCTAATATGAGTTTATAAAATAAAAGTAACCATAAAGTGATAAAAATATTTTCTGAACCGATTTGCTTAGTTAATTAATTTACGGCAGCCATATTTACTTGTATTTGAAAAAAAAGCTAATAAATATATTAGAAGACATGAAGAATTAAATTCATTCTCATAAATATTTCATTAGCAGCCGAGAATATCATAGAAAGGTATAATATAAGGTCGTCACAGGTATTAACGATTCATATAGTAGGATATTCATATGTGTAGCTCGTAGACATCTCCTGCATAAATTAACTGGAATAATGAAATTATGAATGATATCTATGGATTATCTGTAGTGATAAAACGTTGTTGATATAATTATTGTAATGAATGCATTCAATAAGTTTTATTTTTGCTTTCAACTAATCATTAGTTAAAAGCAATAATAGCTTCCCAAAGAATTTTTGGAAGTTCTTTTATCATAAGAAGCTTTTATCTGAGTGGAATACCGAATGTATTTTATCTTGTAATGCTAGGAGAACAAAACGTTCTTGCCTTCTATTTATCAGAGACTGCATTACGAGTCTTTTTCTTTTATTAATTTTAACGGATTTCAATTTTTATCTAGTCACTGTATATCTGCAAATTACCTATTTTGTTTCAATGTAAGATTAAATAATTTATTTGAGTGTTCAAAAAAGTTACCTGAAGATGTGGAACATTAATGTTTTCCTGTCCTACCTTCGATGGCCGTAGATTATGCTTGCAGAACGACTTGGAAAACCTTGGCGTGACTTAGCCAGTAAACTTTTCCCTTTTTGTCAAGTCTTAACTTCTGTTCTCTGTTTTTGTTCGGTTTATTTATGCATGCAGTATTTAATGTTTTAATTAACTTACTTTTATAAACCACGTCTTGTACATGTGCTATATACGAAGAGATTATATATGTTAAAAAACTAATTACTTATGGCAAGACTTTTGCACTAATTAATCATTAATTTAAGTTTTTCATTTTTATTCGTCACTGCTTTGTACATTTTCTATCACATAAATAACATGTAACTTTAACGGTAAATGAAATAAACGTTAAAGCTTTGTTTTCTTTGTAGGAGCAATATTTCCGCCTGGCACAGATGACCTCCAGACTGCTCTCAAATACTCATTTTATGTTCATAACAACGATACACAAGCTCGTTTCAAGGTGGAGCCCGTCATAGACCAAGTAGATAGTGAAGATCCTTTTAAAATCGCACGGACTCGTAAGTTAATAACACGTTTTACGAATATTCATATTTTTTATAATATAAATGTTTCCTTGAAAGTTTTCAAAGATAATTCGGTTATAAATAATGGTTAATATAATGGTTCAGAAGTAATTTCTTTCTTTAATAATGCATCAGTGTTAGAAAGTTAAATTTATAAAGTTTAATATGTAGTTCAAAGTTTTATTATACAGGGTGATTCGAAACTCATCAGCCAAATTTTAAGGGTGATAAAACACACCCAAACAAATATGTTTAATCATACAGTGTACAGGCGTAACTCAAACGGGGAAGCACAGATGGCGCTTTCCAGTTGAAGGCATATAAGCGCTGGTCTTCGCACATGTCGTTACTCACAAGGATCTGAAGACTGATAATGTGCGAGACTACCTGAACAGAATCAATAATAACGTCCTCAACAAAGCCTCCAGTAATGAAACTATCTACTATCGTTCCGTTGAATATGTAGTACGAGATATTAAAAAAAGATGACTATCACATTAGGCCATATGTATCCCACATTCTCAAAAAATTGGATTTTTAATCTAAAATCTATAACCAAGTTTCGACATTTGTAAATACATGTATATACCTGTTTCAGTTACCATATTACTATTTACAAGTACTTCGAGTCGGCAGACCCGTGAAATTGGGAGATAGGGACCGACGGATGCTGTCCAGAGAAATTCACAAGAACTGTATTTAACTGATGATTCACATACTCCAGGAGTTTCAACAGGCAACTGAGAATGTTGTTGCGATGAATACCATCCGTAGTACACATCTGCCTGGTTTACATGGTTGTGCTGCTTTGATGAAAACGTCCAACCATGCTGCTTGGTTAATGTGGTGAAAAGCACGCCGACAGTGGACCATTAATCAGTGGAAACGAGTTCTCTGGAGCAACGAATTAAGATTCATTTTCTACCGTTCGGCATATTTACCTTCTTTCTTAATAAAATTAGTTTTTTTTGTATCACCACTAGTTAGAATTCTTAAGAACTTCAAGGAATGGCATGCGTTTTAACAATTACTTCATAGGCCTCGTAATTTTAGAATTCTAGAAAATATGCTTTTAAAAAATAATAATTTAAATGAAGCATAAACACAATTTTTACTACAAATCTGCGACTTTAAAAACTTTATACCGCCGAAACCGTACATTCTAAACGAGGCCTGGCTAACACGCTGCCCGTCACATTAAATTGTACGACTGCGCTGGTTGATTTTATATTTCTATTGAAACTCTTGTTTTTTCATTACATGTATATACAAAGTACTAAGTAAATGAAAATCTGAAATAACAATAAAAATTAAAATTTAAATTAACGACAGAAAAACCACTTAATTTTATATAATATAAATTGCGCCAGTAAGTGATAGTTTCTCCAAGGGTGATTTATGTTCTTCAGCTTCGGCAATTCAATGTATTCCTTAGCGAATTATTTTCTGAATATAGTGATATCATATATTTTACTACTGTTAGATGGCTAAGTCATGGAAAAGTTTAAAAAGATTTTTTAATTTACGGGAGGAAATAGATACGTTTATGAACGAGAAACAAGAATCTGCTCCTGAATAAAGTGATGATTGGTTGTTAGACCTATGTTTTTAGCATATATAACAGAATAACTTAATCAGCTACATAAGGACTTGTAAGGGCAAAATAATTTAATAATCGACGCTTGTAATTTCGCCAAAGGTTTTAATAGAAATTATTGTTATTTGGTGCCAACTTAGAAATAATAATGTTCAATATTTTGCTCTGTTAAACAACTTCATCAGAATCAAACCTAATAATTTCTCGAAATATGCTAAAGAAATAAAGAAACTTATTTGATAGTCATTTATCAGAATTAGGCAAATATGATAAAATGTTTAAAATATTTTCATGCCAGTGTCATGTTGACGGGAATAGTGTTCCTGAAAATCTGCAAATGGGGTTTATTGATTTACAATGCAACAATGAAATGAAATAAAATTTTGCGTCCACGTCAAACATTAATTTTTACAGTACTTATATTACATCCGAGACACAGTTCAGCTTTAGATATTTGGCACGATGCGTTGTATGTGCTTTAGGATCCGTGTGAAACATTTTTTTCAAAGATGAAATTTATAAGTTCCTCACGTGTTTCATTAACTGATGCCAGTTTAGAAAACCAGTTAAGATATGCAAAGTCGACATAAACCGAGATTTACAAAAATTAACTGATAGAAAGGATAAACAAATCTTTCATTAAGAGTTGAAAGTTCATTGTATTTGAATCATAGTATAATAATAAAGTTTTATTCATTTTGCATCTGAATTGTGTTTTTTGAAAGCATGTTTCCTTAAAGTGCGGCCCACTGTAACGATCATCAAAGTGGCCCGTGGAACCATTTGGGCTGGCCAGGTCTCTTCTAAACTTTCTTCTTTCCTGAAATAAAGACAGAGAATAAGATAGAAAAGCTATATATGTGTATATATCTATGAATAACATACACGAAGCATCTCATAAATATTTGATATAAAATTTTTGTATTATATATGTATAAAATGGAACGAAAACTGAAAAATTTCTTTTTTGGGAAAAAATAGGAAGATTTCATTTCTGCTTTACCTTTGTTCAATTGAACGGTTCTTTCCCGTTTTCTTGAACGAAAGAACGGTTAGTTTTGTTTTAGATTATTATTCTTATAAAATATCTTATTTTTATTTTTCTGGATGTGAAAGACAGACTAAGATTAAATGCTTGGATATGCTTGAAATACATACATATACGCTCCTAGAGATTTTGCTACCTTTTACAAACTTTTTTTAAAATATTTATTATGTTCGATTCATAATATCTGTTTTCTACTCGAAATTGCAAAAAATCAAGATTTTGATAAAAGTTTGCAAAAAATTGCTGTTTTTTAACTGCTGTAGGTGCAAATGAGAAATTTATTAGAATACCTTTGTTTTCTTAGTAATTAGAATCTTCTTGTTGGAGTGAAATTTTATGAAATAGTAAAGAAGACGGAGGTATTAGACATCAGCAGAGGTTGCATAGCTGAAGCGGTGTAGCAGATACATTTATAGTTATTATGCAGTAGTTGACTATTTTATATGATCTTTTAAGCGTAGGGCCCACCAGCGGCCGAGCGGTAAAGTCGCTGAACTCTGGTAGTTCGGTCCGAGGTTCGAATCCCGCGAACGGGCTGGCTGCATGGGCGTTTTCGTGGTTTTCCCCATGTGTAACGTGTATACGAGCCAGTTTCCCTTAGAAAGTCCTCCACGAAGGCATCCCTCCTCTTAGGCAGATAGCCCTCGAGGCTTTGCCATAATCACACACACACTTTTAAGCGTAGACATTCAAATCATTAATATTTATAATTCTGACGTTTCTAAGTAAGAAGCGGGATTATTTATTTGGATCTAAATTTTCCGTTTTTGATGTGTAAAAAATGCACATGTTATGCAAATACAGTTAAAAGAAATTTTACATATGCATAGCAATAACGTTAAGAATAACAATAATTATTGCATTACGAGTAGCAATAAAGTTAAAAATATAGTGAACGTAAAGAATTAATCGTTGTTACGAAAATATATTCACAAGAATTTAAAACTGATAAATAAAATCCTTTACTTTGATCTATATAAGCGATGCTTGGGGATATAATTTTCTATTCCAAGACGGCGCAAAATGACAGCAGCCTAACAATTTATTTTCTTATTTTTAGCTTTATCAAGCTTCACTTTCCTTTTCGCCTAAAGCTGGGTAATTTAATGATCATAAATAATATTGGAAGCTGAATAAAATTACTAAAATATGGAACTACGTTAAATTTGTAGCTTCTTCTTCGAAATATCGAAAGTAATAAATCTGACTATTTTTAGACTTCAGTTTAAAACTTCCTTGCAATTAAAAACAGCTTGATGTCGGTGATATGTGGTCAAAATATTTTTAAAATGTAGCAACATGGCAATATATATATATATATATACATGCATTATGAATATCTAAAGCAGCGTTTTTAAATGGACGTTTTTAATGCATAGGCGACTTGATATAAATAATAAAAGATATAGTAAAAACATCATATTAGCGTCGAGGCGAAAACATTTGAATAAGTTTAAAGCAAACAATAAGTAGTGGTAAGGAAATAGGTACTTTTCATGCGAAACTTATGACGACAGTAAAAATAACTAGATACCTCATATATTTCCAATGACAAATTATCAATGCAATTAAAATTAGAAAGATTTTAAAAATACAGGAATATGTTATCAACTAAGAATGCTTAAACACTTTGTAAGGTTAGAGGAGTAAGCAAAGCTCATAAGAACTACCTGCATAAAGGGAGAGAGATACCTTCTTGCAGGAATTTATGTCTCGTATTCACGTTACACATCACGAAAAGCATCCATGCAACCAGTTCATTCACCTGGGTCCGAACTCGGATCGAATTATTCGCATAACTATTAGAATTAATTATCTTAATTACTCCGCCCCTGGTGGGGCTGCTGCACAAGATATAAGACTTCAAAGATATATGCTTAATTAATGATATTTTTGCATGTAATGCTTACAGTTTTTTACAGTAATCTATTATTTGTTTACATGTATTTTCTTAAAAAATGACTTCGTATCTTGAATTTAGGATATTTTATTAAACTTCAAGTTTTAAATAGGGAATAAAATTATTTTTTAATGTATTTATTAAATTTTATTAATTAATTAATAATAATAATAAAATTAATTTTATTAAGCAGGGAATAAAATTATTATTTACTATTTTGACAAAAATAAAGCAGTTTTTTGACTAAATATCCCCAAACCATTAATATTGGTAGATATTGTTTTGCACCTCAAGACGGTACAAGATAGCGGCAGTTTAACAGCTTAGTCATTCACTTTTAGCTTCATCATGGATGACAGTTAATCTACTGAAAGTTAAAATTTTTCTTGTAATTAAGAAGCTTCTATGTTAATGTTCTCCTCATCCGTTTATAAGAAAAGATATTTTCT